TTGTCTGTGAGGAGCATTTTCTTCCTTGTAACTCGAATACAGCAACATCTCTTCCGAATCTAACTATTCCCGATCAGCTTGGTTCCAGTGGGTTTCACTGATTTCGAGCACTGTCAAGTTATATCTCCTCAGTTCTGCAGCTATTTGGCTGATTCTTTCGATCTCTTATATATTACGGACATAAAATGTACTTGTGTAAATTTTTCTTTGGTTTTTATTGGGGGGATCGACCTAGTGATATCCAAATGATAGTATCTTACTACGATTTACCAGTCTCTTTTTTCTTTTTTATCGATAATATACCTAAGTATCTGCCTAGAGTTATTGATGATCCACGGAAGCCCGTTAAGCGAAAACTTCTATTCTGTCCAAGATCAACTGAACCATCTGAAGTATCTCAGCTTTTATCATGAGTCGTTATAACTCTTTTAGATGAAGATTCTTTTACTCTCGGAGCAGAGTTTTGTTTGGTCCAAGTTGTTATTCAGGGTTAATCAATCTATGTAGCCTCTCTTTCCATATACAAAATATATTATTCTATCCTCAGCACAAATTTACTCATCGATTATGACCAAAAAACACTAATAACTTGGTGTAGACAACGATGCGACTCCTGCGCAAGATATTAAAGATTATGTAGTCATAACATGGCAATTATTGGATTACGTCCGTCATTCTGGAAGCAAAGATAATTGCACTAGTACTGACCCAAACCCAAATCCCACAAACATACTGTAATAAGGTATATCTTAAGCATAAGTCCTTGACTCCTGAAAGTCTCCTAGTAAGGTGCGATGAGTGCAGCTATCTGTTAACCAAACTGTAGACCAGTGTATTCTTACTAAGTGAGAGCCAATGTACTAGCCAACGCGTAGTTTTCGAAAAAACTATTGCACCTAACTTCTTCGATAGCGTCTGTGTTGGTTTGGTTGTAGTGGTTAATATGCGAAAGGATAAAATGTAGCGTATAGAATACTGTCAATACACTAATATGGTAATTTCTAAGACCAAGAACAAAAGAATAATTTTGTAATACAAAAGTTTGCAGATAGCGAAAACGAACCCTATTTACTTGTAAAGAATAACAGTTGTCTTCAGCTGTATAAGTTTGCAAAATGTTTGCATTTTCTTGACAGTTCTGGACAACAAAGACAAAGAAGGAAGACCAATCACTGAGATTCAACAACAGCGCAACAGATGGGCAGAGTACTTCGAGGAACTCCTGAACAGACCGGCTCCAATGAATCCACCGGACATCGAAGCAGCACACACAGATCTTCCTATAAATGTCAATCCACCAACGACAGAAGAAATCAGAATGGCCGTCAGACAAATCAAGAGCGGGAAAGCAGCAGGACCTGACAATATACCAGCTGAAGCGTTGAAGTCAGACATCGAAGTAACTACAAGCATGCTTCATCTTCTATTCAAGAAGATTTGGGAGGAGGAACAAGTGCCGATGGATTGGAAAGAAGGACACCTAATCAGGATTCCAAAGAAAGGAGATCTGAGCAAGTGTGAAATTTACAGAGGCATTACACTACTGTCAATACCGGGTAAAGTCTTCAACAGAGTGTTACTGAACAGGATGAAAGACGCAGTTGACGCTCAACTTCGAGATCAACAAGCTGGATTCCGTAAGGACCGGTCGTGCACAGACCAGATTGCGACACTACGGATCATCGTCGAACAATCAATTGAGTGGAACTCGTCACTCTACATCAACTTCATTGATTATGAGAAGGCATTTGACAGTGTAGATAGTAGGACGTTATGGAAACTTCTTCGACACTACGGAGTTCCTGAGAAGATTGTCAACATTATCCGGAACTCATACGATGGACTACAGTGCAAAGTAGTGCATGGAGGACAGCTGACAGACGCATTCCAAGTAAGGACCGGAGTAAGACAAGGCTGTCTACTCTCTCCCTTCCTGTTTCTCCTGGTGGTCGACTGGATTATGAAGACCTCGACATCTGAGGGAAACTACGGCATACGATGGACAGCTCAGAACCAATTAGACGACTTGGACTTCGCAGATGACCTAGCCCTCCTATCACATACACACGAACAAACGCAGATAAAGACAGCCAGCATAGCAGCAGTCTCTGCATCAGTAGGCCTCAACATACACAAGGGGAAAACCAAGGTCCTCAAACACAACACGGAGAACAGCAATCCAATCACTCTTGATGGCGAAACTCTGGAAGACGTGGGATTCTTCACATACCTGGGAAGCATCGTCGATAAACAAGGAGGTTCAGATGCAGACGTCAAGGCGAGGATTGGCAAAGCTAGAGCGGCATTCCTTCAACTGAAGAACATATGGAACTCAAAACAACTGTCTATCAACCAATATCAAAGTCAGAATCTTCAATACGAACGTCAAGGCAGTTCTACTGTACGGAGCTGAAACTTGGAGAAATACAACAACCACCATCAAGAAGGTGCAAGCATTTATCAATAGCTGTCTACGCAAGATACTCAACATCCATTGACCGGATACCATCAGCAAGAGCCTTTTGTGGGAGAGAACAAACCAGCTTCCAGCTGATGAGGAAATTAGGAAAAGACGATGGAAATGGATAGGACATACATTGAGGAAATCATCAAACTGCATTACGAGACAAGCGCTAACTTGGAATCCTGAAGGGAAGCGGAAAAGAGGAAGGCCAAAGAACACATTACGTCGGGAAATAGAAGCAGATATGAAAAAGATGAATAAGAACTGGAAAGAGCTTGAAAGGATTGCCCAGGACAGGGTTGGATGGAGAATGCTGGTGAGCGGCCAATGCTTCTTCACGAGGAGTAACAGGCGTAAGTAAGTAAAAATCTGGACAACACTATTAGTTCCCGTTAATATGCCTCCGTCAACTTCTAATTCAACTACAATCAACGTATAATAGTCATTACATTTTGTCAAAGTGCCTAGAACTGTCACTTACATAACCGTTGACTTTAGCAACGCAACCGCTACATCCTGTTATGTGTTCAACAGAACAAGATTGATAAAATGAATACCATGAAGAATCCAAGATTGTTATATCAGTATTTATTAACGAACAAATCACCGAATAAAACGATATTCAAAGTAGTGAAAAAACTTCATCTTAAATGCCTCGTTAATAAATAAATTTAAATGAATTAGACTTACGGTTCATCAATAATTTGCCATATGTATACATTTTGTTAATTCAATGAGTAAAGGTGTTTATTTATATATATATAAATATAGTTCAATTACCGAGTTGGATACTTCGCTCTTTTCTGATGGTTAATAGCCAACCGAAAATAGATATGAGCCTATCGAGCATTGGTCTACGTAATGTCTATGACAAATGTTAATAAAATAACTTTCAGAATCTATATAACTGTACATTAAGATTCTGACTGACATTATAGTCATTCAATTACCCAGTCGAATGATCAAAAATGCGATAACTCGGTAATGGAGTGGTACTAAATTTAATTAAGGCTACAAACTAAAAGTACAGATATTCACCACCTGAATAGTGTCCAATCAGGTCGATAAAGCTAATTCTTACCCATTAAACTGGATATTAATTAATTGATTCCACAAAATTTTCATACGTAAACCATAAAGCTACATTGAGGAATGCTTTATGGTTGGCCTTACTTTGGTTATAGATGTATTGGAATGAAAACTACATAGACGGCAGTTATTTTCATTGTCATTGTTTACACGTCAGTATTCATCACTACTCAAATACGAGTAAAGAAATAGCGCTTTAGTGAATCTAATGAAATTACCTACGGAAAGTACTGGAAAAATATGTAATCTGGAAGACAGGAAAAACACGAAGTATAAGGGGCGTGGTAGTGACCACATATTAACAGTTAACACTGATAAGTTACCACAAAATAGAAATTACTTTATTCCACGTAAACCGATTAATTCTGCAATGAGTTTCCACTGAAAACTTATATAAACGACACTGCCCTCTTCAGAGAGCTCGTGACATAGAAATCACTATAGAACTATGTAAGAAGAGTGTCTTTTCCCAAGTTAAAACGAAATCGTAGCCAGTTTAACCTTGATCAGAGTTTGATCACAGCTCATTACCTTAAATGAGCTGATTTAATTAGTAACGTAATGTAAAATGTCTTTGGCAAAAAACACAACTTAAAAAGGCTTCCTAGCTTAATTCTGGTGTTTTATCCATGGTTCATTCAAAGCTATCTATCTACTCTATTAAGGTCTCTAGTCAGCAAGTTAGGCATTTAACGTTCGATTAGTTTCAGTTTGTAGCGTTGCTCTCCTCTGGTCGCTGCCCAAATCATCATCACCGTGACAAAGACACTGAAGGTTTTCGACCTCACAAAATCAAGAGGAATTTAGGTGCTTGAAGTCATATAAAAATTCTGTCCCATGTGGAGTTCTACATAGAGTTCAAAAAAGTGTGCACGCCTACTGTTATTCCTACAGGTACAAACCAACTGTTCCTTAGCTAAGGGTATTTTACTCTTTAATTCGATAAAGGTTCGTATGTGTATATGCAGGGAGCAGTAAGTTCGGAGTTTCTATCTACGGACCCATTTACCTGTTTTAGAAGCAGCTAAGGTCGTGAAAAGAGTAGAAAATAAACGTCTCAGAAGCTCTTTGAATAACAAACCTACGTTTCCCAGAACAAAACACCGTTTTATTCCTGATAAATCATGTAGTACGAACATTTCGACTATCTGTATCATGCGCTTTCTGTCAGGAGAGCGCACGTCAACAAACTGACTTGTAATTGAATATGAAAAAGAGAATTAAGATATATATAAGGTGGAAAACTGTGCTCCAACCGGAAAAATGTGGGGATTACAAGAAAATCATCTGACCACTCAGATTCCGATCTCGAGAAACAATTATTTCGTTATTTATGCTTTACAAAGTTAGAAGTTTGTTCAATAAAGTGGTCCGCCCGTTTCAAGTTTGGCCTTGGCGCCATTTAGCCTATTGTCTCCAAATCATTCGTTATATGGAATGAGATAAAATGAGTCGTAAGAGTTAATCCAACCTCTTAATTGAGTTTTATTAGAGAAAGATGCAAACAAAGTGGTAACGGTTGTTGCCTACTTGTGTCAAGGTGACAAGTCAAAGGAAATATCGTACACGGATGCCAAAGTCATCGGAAACGGATCATTTGGCGTTGTGTATCAAGCTAGACTCCTTGAGACTGATGAAATAGTCGCTGTTAAAAAGGTTCTTCAGGATAGGAGATTCAAGGTGATCACTTTTTCCAGCCTTGTATCCCCCTATAATTTGTGGCTAGAAACTTATGTCAGTTTTTATCATTCATGTTATGTTATGTAAAACTAATAATTTTCAACAGACGATAAGTGTGTGTTCTGACAATCTACACGAACTCATCAACGTTCACTACACATCGCTAGCAGCCAGCACATATAATTTTCAATATGTCAGTTATGTTGTAGTCCTTCCCTAGTATATTTATGCGAGTATACGACCACCGAAAATAAGTCATTTAACTGGGTAGAGACCACTTCCAGGAGTTGGTCCAGATTGATTGAGTCAAAAGGTATTTATGGATGGTGGTCCAGTTTTAGCGGTTAGGTTGACTAATATTTTAGCTAAAATATGAGAATTGGATGTAATCCAATCTCACTGGTCTCAACCACTGATTGTCCAATCATATAAAAGGGGATCAAAATCATCCTATGATAACCATAGAGGGATTAGTTTAACTAATATAGCATCTAAAATACTAGCATCAATTGTTGTCGGACACCTAACTAAGACTCATGAACTGCAAATACGAGGAAATCAGGCTGACTTCAGACATGGTCGTGGTTGCATCGACCACATATTCACCATTCGCTAGATCCTAGAACACAGACATGCTTATCAGCGTCCAACAATCATAGTTTATCTTAACTTAAAAGCAGCATTTGACTCTGCAGACCGAGAGGTTCTGTGTCAGTGTCTGTCATTGAAAGGCGTACCTCAGAAGTACATAAACATTGTGAAGGCTTTTTACTCAAACACTACTAGTCGAGTCAGAGCTTATGGCGAACTGTCATCTGCTTTTGCAACCTCAAGTGGTATCCGTCAAGGCTGTTCACTTTCTCCATTTTTGTTTAACTTCATCATAGACCTACGGATGGAAATAACGCTATCGTCGACTGAATTCTCGGGTATTGATCTCCTTCCAGGAGGTCCACTTATCGACTTAGAATACGTAGACGATATATTCCTGTTTGGTAAAGACGCTGATGAAATGCAAAGTACGGACACTCATCAGTTGGCAATCAATGTCCGCAGGTATGGTATGTGCTTTGCACCTTCGAAGTGTAAAGTACTTCTACAAGATTGGCAGGATTCTAATCCTGTACTCACTCTGGACGGTGAGCAGATAGAAGTGGTCGAGAAGTTCGTGTATCTAGGTAGCTGCATAAGTGCTGGTGGTGGTGTGAGTGATGAGATCAATGCACGTATAGTGAAAGCCAGAGCGGCTTATGCCAATCTGGGCCACCTTTGGCGCCTTCGTGATGTTGGTCTGGCTGTAAAAGGTCGGATCTACGACGCGACGGTGAGAGCAGTTTTGCTCTATGCTTGTGAAACCTGGCCTCTCCGAGTTGAGGATGTTAGACGACTCTCTGTGTTCGATCATCGTTGTCTCCGAAGGATTGCTGGCATCCAGTGGCAACACCATGTCAGTAATGCAGAGGTCCGGCATCGTGTGTTCGGTCACAGAGACGATAATTAAATTAGTGTCACCATCTTGAAACACCGACTTCGGTGGCTTGGACATGTTCTACGAATGTCGTCCCAGAGAATTCCTCGTCGTGCATTATTTGCTGACTGTAGGACTGGTTGGGAAAAGCGGAGAGGTGGTCAGTATATGACATGGTGTCGTGGTATGAAAAAAAGCTGCAAAGGGCTAGCTTCTGTTGGTCCTTCACGACTCCCTGGCTGGGGTCCAAAAGACGGTGTAACGCAGTGGCTAGAGACGTTATCAGATATGGCTCAGAATAGAAGCCAATGGCGATCCTACTGTAACCTTCTTTTACTTTCTTCATAAAAAGTGGTTGTATCTTCCTTAACTGAAAGATTTCTTCTGATTGTACCTTTCCGTTCTCCCCATCATTGTTCTCTCCCTCTTTTTTTTATAATTCCCCACGTGCATTACTTTTTTTATGTATATATTTTTTCTCCTCTTCAAATTATCATTGTTTTGTGTGGCGCATATATATTTGGTGCCCCCTGTACCAATATTTATGTGTTCAAATAAATAAATAAATAATTTTGGTAGCACTGAGCAACAATCCCAAGCTTTTTAGGATGCGTTTATCCCCCTCTAAATGCAAGTTGTTGCATCAGGACTGCCCTTCGCAACACCTGAACTAAGGATAGGGAGTGAAGTTGTCGAACACGTCGTCAACTTCACTTATCTTGGAAGTCTGATCAGCACTAATGAGTTGGTGTCTGACGAAATCTCAGCGCGGATTCTAAAAGCTCGTTCGACTTTTGTCAACATACGTCAATTATGGCGTATGCGAGATATCTGTCTATTAATTAAAGGACGAGTATACTGCGTGGCAGTTCGTTTTGTTCTACTTTACAACTGCGAGGCGTGGCCATTATGAGTAGAGGATATTCGTAAGTTACTAATATTTGATCACAGATGTCTCGGAAATATTGCTGGCATCTGCTGGGATCACTGGGTACGTAATAGTGAGTTTGGATGTGGGGTATTATAAAATGGTAGTAAATCAGTTGACAAGGTTATCAATCTTCATCGACTGAGATGGTTGGGCCACGTGTTACGTATGCCTGAACACCGATTAGCACGGCGCGCAATGTTGACTAGTGTTGAAGATGATTGGAAGAAAGTTAGGGGCGACCAAATCAAAACATGGCAACAGTCCTTGAAGTTACTAACTTCTGGCCTGAGTCATGTTGATAGATGCAGGCTACTTGGTTGGGATCAATGAGACTATCGTAACTAGTGGTTGGAGACTGTGGGTTACATGGCTCAGAATCCATCACAGTGGTGTCGGTGTATACACTGTCTTCCTCTAAACAGTGAGATTAAAATTAGTTTATACATTTTCTGCGAACTAATTTTCCCCTCTGTATCATATTTTTATATGGAATCTTTGTTTACTACCATAAAAATAACTATTATGGATTTCGTGTTCATTTTGTTATGCTAATGTGGTACGGCAATCTGGAGCGATTCATATGTGTGACTGGTCCAACGTTGTAGCTGACGACTGCTAACGGAATTTCAATCAATACACTTTATAACAATATGTAAGCTAAATTCGGTCGACAATGTTATCCACTGCAGTAAAATTCGATGTTCAGTCTGTTTTGGTTCCATCATAATAGAAAACCTAGTCAACAACACTAGTTTGGTATACGATTTATTTGTAGACCAGACGTAAATACGTATAGTAGTCACATGTGATGGAGATATGTATATTTATTTATTTATTTGTTTATTTATTTGAACACATAAATATTGGTACAGGGGGGCACCAAATATATATGCGCCACACAAATCTCAATTGATTTCGTCAGACACCAACTCATTAGTGCTGATCAGACTTCCAAGATAAGTGAAGTTGACGACGTGTTCGACAACTTCACTCCCTATCCTTAGTTCAGGTGTTGCGAAGGGCAGTCCTGATGCAACAACTTGCATTTAGAGGGGGATAAACGCATCCTAAAAAGCTTGGGATTGTTGCTCAGTGCTACCAAAATTATTTATTTATTTATTTGAACACATAAATATTGGTACAGGGGGCACCAAATATATATGCGCCACACAAAACAATGATAATTTGAAGAGGAGAAAAAATATATACATAAAAAAAGTAATGCACGTGGGGAATTATAAAAAAAAGAGGGAGAGAACAATGATGGGGAGAACGGAAAGGTACAATCAGAAGAAATCTTTCAGTTAAGGAAGATACAACCACTTTTTATGAAGAAAGTAAAAGAAGGTTACAGTAGGATCGCCATTGGCTTCTATTCTGAGCCATATCTGATAACGTCTCTAGCCACTGCGTTACACCGTCTTTTGGACCCCAGCCAGGGAGTCGTGAAGGACCAACAGAAGCTAGCCCTTTGCAGCTTTTTTTCATACCACGACACCATGTCATATACTGACCACCTCTCCGCTTTTCCCAACCAGTCCTACAGTCAGCAAATAATGCACGACGAGGAATTCTCTGGGACGACATTCGTAGAACATGTCCAAGCCACCGAAGTCGGTGTTTCAAGATGGTGACACTAATTTAATTATCGTCTCTGTGACCGAACACACGATGCCGGACCTCTGCATTACTGACATGGTGTTGCCACTGGATGCCAGCAATCCTTCGGAGGCAACGATGATCGAACACAGAGAGTCGTCTAACATCCTCAACTCGGAGAGGCCAGGTTTCACAAGCATAGAGCAAAACTGCTCTCACCGTCGCGTCGTAGATCCGACCTTTTACAGCCAGACCAACATCACGAAGGCGCCAAAGGTGGCCCAGATTGGCATAAGCCGCTCTGGCTTTCACTATACGTGCATTGATCTCATCACTCACACCACCACCAGCACTTATGCAGCTACCTAGATACACGAACTTCTCGACCACTTCTATCTGCTCACCGTCCAGAGTGAGTACAGGATTAGAATCCTGCCAATCTTGTAGAAGTACTTTACACTTCGAAGGTGCAAAGCACATACCATACCTGCGGACATTGATTGCCAACTGATTAAGTGCGGATTACATGGCTTGAACATTCTCGCACAGTAAGACAATATCATCCGCATACTCAAGGTCGAGAAGTCTTTCTCCAGGCAGCATCCACACCACCATTACTTTCATTCATCAGAGCTGTTTCCAGAATGTCATCGATGGCAAAGGTGAAGAGGAATGGTGAGATTGGGCAACCCCGCCTAACTCCACTGCTTGAATGGAATAGTGGAGAAAGGTGGTTGTATGCCCTCACTCTGCCTGAGGTGTTTGTGTATAGGGCTTTTAGGATGTTAATAAACTTCTCAGGCACACCCTTCTTCAATCGACAATCCCAGAGAACAGTTCTGTCCAACGAATCGAAGGCAGCCCTGATATCAAGAAACACTACGATTGTTGGCCTTTGATAAGTATGACGGTTTTCTAACATTTTGCGGAGGGTGAAGATATGATCAATACATCCTCGACCAGAACGAAGCCCAGCCTGCTCCTCGCGAGTCAATCTTTCTCGGGTTCTGAACAGCCTACGAAGTATGACGGAAGCCAATAGCTTGGACGCAATCGGAAGTAGACTTATCCCCCGATAGTTGTTACAGGAACGACGTGAACCCTTTTGAAAGATAGGGACAACTATCGACTCATTCCATGAGTTTGGTGCACTCTCTAGTTCCCAGACCTTTGTAAACAACGTCGTCAGTCCCTAAGTCAGAAAGTTACCACCATCTTTAAAAAGAGCCGGAGGTAAGTCGTCTGGGCCCGGTGATTTGAACCGCCATTTTCATGGCGTCATGCAATTGCAACCAATGCTCATCTATACTTTTCGGTGGAATGGTAGCTAGCCTAGAAGCTAGCTCGGTTCGGTACTTACTAGCAACAGAAGTTGCAGCCAGCTTGCTAACATCAATCCTTCGGTGGCGGTCACTTCGTTGTCCACTGAAAAGTAAGGTGAGATTGGCGCAGACCAGAGCATGATCAGATTCCAGATAGGTACTCCAAAAGGAGCGGCAGTGTTGTACACAACCACGCCAGCGGTAGCTGATCGCGATGTGATCAATCTGTATCCAGGCTTGAGATGTAGAAGGTGGACGCCAGGTGGCACATCGGCGATGACTGTGCCGAAAGTTAGTGCTAGCCAGAAACAGGTTGTGGTCTGTGCATAGCTGCAGTAGACGTTCCCCGTTATCTGTCCTGCGACCAACAATTCCCCATCGGCCACCTAAACGAATCCGTTCTGTGCCTAGACGCCAGACCTGAGCATTCAAGTCTCCGGCTAGTACTACAATATCTGTCGAACGCACTTTCTGGAGAAGAACAGATAACTGGTGGTAGAATTCATCCTTGATTGCATCCGGGCTGCAATCTGTCGGGGCATAGGCGGAGATGACGAAAAGACATCGTTTCTCACGCCGATTTCTCCTCACTTTGATGGAACTTTCTAATCTAACAGCACATAACCGACTGTTAATGGTGATGCAATCGACTAGTGCTGCCTCAGCTCTAGCGCTTAGTGCGACGCCAACGCCAGCAAGACCAGACGAAGATGCCACAGGGTCTCCGGATAAACGCACATAAAACTTGTAGTACTTCACCAGAGTCTTGAATACGGGTCTCGGATAGACAACACACATCAATATTAAGACTTTCCAAAGACATAGCCAGCCCTATCTGTTGTCCGACCTGCATAAACGTGCGAACGTTGAAGGCAGCCAGTTTGAATGGTGCACGTGGTTTCAGAAAAACTGCTTCAGTACTCATATTCGGTGGTAACATACAATTTTCAACCAGGCAGTGACTCGAGAACGTTTAGATAAAGCTGAATTTTCACCATAGGCGAGCTGCTGTCTGAGTCGAAACGGATACAAAAAGTAGAAATAGGAGATAGTGAATAAATGACGTAGTAAATAATAATAATAATAATAATAATAATAATAGTACGAGTTATTTCAGTGTTAATCAGATAGAAAGGAATATTTTCCATAAGCAAATTGTTCATCATGATTTTAGTGCGTGGGCTGAGATACTGCCCGGGTGCCCAAACCGAAGCAGGTGGTTTTCTTAGGGGGCCACACCCCGAGCCTTTGACCTAAGGGTCTAGTCCACAAGGCAGTGGAGCATCGTGAGGAGATGCAGTCCCATGGAAGCCGGTGACCAAATATTGGTTCATACGCCATTTGTTCCCGCAGGATACTGGAGCCCATATGCACCATTGAATTGGGATCCGGTTATAGCGCCGGACATTCGCTTTTCGCCCTCTCATTTTCGTAAACAACACCCCCGCCACGAGAAGGCAGTGAGTAGGACTTCCCTTGCAGAGGCTGTATACGCATGGCCGTGTGAGAGTATTTCGAGAGGGAGGGCGAACCCTCCCCGCTCTCGGCCATACCAGTGCATTTGGGAGATATGTACGCGACTCTGAATCAGACTGTCCACTTCGTCCCAGAGATGGAGATTTGTTATGTACACGTGAATAAAAGTAAAATCAGTTTGCATATGGTGACAAATCAAGTTCTTTGCTTTGATTAATATTTTTTTGAGTAATTTTTCTTTTGAGAACTTGTGGATAGCAATGGCCTATCAGTGTTAATATTTAATCATCATTCTACCCAAAGTTAACTTCGTTATTTATTTTCAGAATCGAGAATTGCAAATTATGCGTCAACTGGACCATCCAAATATTGTGCAGTTAAAGTACTTCTTTCACTCTGTGGGTGATAGAGTAAGCTGTTATTTTGGGTTTAAATACATCGTTATTGTTGTATTTTATTTAGGATTTAGTTTCATGCTTTTGGTTTACATCTCATTTGTTCTGTTGTATTCCTATTGATTTTTCATATTGGTTAAAAGCGTAACTTGAAATCTAGTGATTGTATTATCAGTTCTATTTTGTATGAATTTTCCCATACCCACAGCTCAATTAGTCATTACCAACGTCAAAACGAAGCACAAATGTATATCAGTCCCAGTTGCCTCGTTTCATCAGTATATCAATTTGAAGAATCATAGTTGATAGTGTTAGTGATAGTAAAAATTGATTATAGTTCAAAAACAGGGGAAATCGAGGAATGGAAATTATTAAATAGTATAAAAATCCGAATTTTGAAGGAAGATGACAAGTGAATGCATATACGTCACTGCAGTCGATCGTTAACGTGTAATGCGAAATTCCCAATTACTGATTGGGGTTACTATTCGAAATCCAACCAGGTAATCCGTAGCTGATGATAGAGCTGAGATAAATAATCACTGGCTTCATTAATTGATCACCGGTCTTGGTCCAACAGTAATGATAGACATCTGATGTTGTGGTTCATTAGGTGTATGAAATAATAGAGATTAAATGGTCCCTAAAGAACCAACTAGTTAACTAGGAGTCATTCACGTGTTATGCAATTATTTCGGCATAAATCGGAACGTTATGTTAACTTGATATTAGCGCTACAGAAAAAAATATGGTTATTTAGTCAGCCATATTCAATATCGAGCGTAGTACAAATGTACGTCAACTTGCGTTACTGTAATGCGTCATCACGGTACGGTGAAATTCACAAAATGAATTGTAAGAGTCCAGATATTGGCGACATCATTTATACTGAGGAACATTAAACATTGAAAGCAAAAAATTAATTTGAGGAATACAAGATATGGAATAATATAAAACCTCAAGAAGATGTAGTGTAAAAACATGTGCACCAATAAGACTGATTCTAAACCAAACCACCCAGATTAAGCTAGTGATCGCGGTTATCGCACGAATGTCAACTAAGTTTGCACCTTCCGATAGTCAGTCTTACAATCACTGTCTTCATCGACTTATGTCATATATTAGTTTGATCCTCCTTTGGCATAAGTAACACTTTCCAATCTCAGTCGATGGAGATTCAGTCTCATCGATCGATTTAACTGGTACCATATGCCTAACCTCAAACTGACTCACTTGGTTTTTTCATCGTACACAGACAATGCTTCGTAGATACTCATGATAAAATACTTGCTACCTGCATTTGTCATACTTCAATGGGCTATGTTTCATACTAGTAACCTACGAATAATTTTAAAGATCAAGTCTCAGCTATAATATGTATGCTATAAAATGTACCCGCAACATCATTGGAAACGAGCATTTCGTCGCTGATACAAGTGACGGGAGTTAAAAAAAGCCATGCGAACTTCCTGAATCCATATCAGTATTTCATCAAACACCAACCTATAAGCCACCAAATGCCCAGGTAAGGCCGAGGGTTGGGATCACTAGCTCTCCCTCTCGAAATTCTCTCACATGGCCGCGCATATACAACTACTTCCAAGGAAGTCTCACTCACCGCTTTTTCGCAGCGAGGGTGTTGTTTAACGAAATTGAGAGGACCAAAAGCGAGTGTCTGTCGCTTCAACCGGGTTGATGGATTTTGAAGGATCCACTTAGGGCAGTTGGAAAACTCTAATTTCAAACCAGTGGCGTACATGGACTCCAGGATCATAAGGGAACAAATGGCGTATGAACCTATTGTTGGTCACCGGCTACCATGGAACTGCATCTCCTAACGTTACTCCGCTGCTTTCTGGACTGAACCTGTAGGTCAAAGGCTCCGGGTGTGTCCACTTAAGATAACCACCTACTTCGACTTGGGCACCCGGGCAGTACTCCAGCCCTCACACATCAAATGATTTGTGGGGCGCATATGTATTTGGTACCTTCTTGTATCAGTGTTTGTGTTTAAATAAATGAATATCCCACAAGAGCTAATGTGACCTCCAGGATAAGTATTCTCGATGCTCTCAGTCACTTCACTCCATAATCAATCTAGCCACTAACTCAGAACAGTCTTAAAGCAACATGTGGCAATTAAAAGGCGAGAAACTTATCTTAAAAATGTTTGGATTGTTACTCAAGGAAAGATTTAGTTCTTACCTGCCAAATTACTTAAGTACACACATATAGGTTGTTTACAAGTTTTTGTGGTGGGAGTTAAAACACGAATTGGCTACATATTTTTGGGAGGGCAATGATTAGTTTAATTAGTTTTAGTCTTCCTTCTATTATAATGTAATTAATTTTCAAATGTTTTTACTAACTTTCCTCAGAAAGATGATGTTTATTTAAATTTGGTCCTTGAATTTATTCCGGAAACCGTTTATCGTGTTGCCCGAAGATATGCCCGTCAAAAAGAAACAATTCCTCTTTTATTTGTAAAGGTAGTTTTTATTTTTTAGTAATTTTATTCCGGTCAACATCAATCTCGCACCTTTCATGGATTTATTCAGTTTTTTATAAAATTTCGTTACAGTAGTAAACTGTTTCCATTTTTCCTTATCACCATGATATTTAACCATCATAACTTGTGAATCGATTGATTTAATTGATAGTCCATTTCTTATTTACTTGTGATTTTTTTAGGGGCTAATATTGTCGTAATCCACCCACTCAGCCTTTTTCCAACTCCAGTCAATCAACTCAGCGCGTCCGTAAAGGTGTACATGACACATGTCCTAATAGTCTTAATCGATAATGATTCACAGCCTCGTCATATGCTTTGTCATTTATAGATTGTGCTATCTAGTAAACTAATCTTAGCATTGCTCACTCAGTGGTTCTGTCATACACGCAAAGTTCTTCGAAAATACCTATTACCGGATGCTAGTAGACTGAAAGTATTTTGTGCTACCATAATTTGTTCTTGTTGGGTAAAGCAATACAAAACGGACCGGTTCACGTTATGTGTATCTTTGATGGACAGTTGGGCAAAACCTTTTCCAATAGATGACATGGGTTGACTAAGGTCATCAGAGAGTTCACTAATCATCAACCCTCTAGAGTTGAAAAGACCCTCAATAAGAGTGATGTGGTCGAGTTGCTCAACTTATTTAGTTGTTATATTTAAACTGGACAATAATATAGAGGAGTTTTGAAGTGGCTTTTTGCATTTGTCATCCGAGGTGCACAGAACAGTGAACTTATGAGCGTCTTTTGCAAGTAGAACTAAACTATCTTACTCCCAAACTAACTAATATCTCAGTCAAATAGATAATTATAGACTGTTATTCTCAAAGACTTCTGGAATTGACTCATCAGTGTCTACTGCCTTCATTAAAGTTTTAAAACTGGGTTTGTGTCATATTTAGATAGTTGGTTAATAGCAGGGATCATTTGTAAGCGTAATGAATCCCAATTTTTTTAGCTTTATGTTATGGTAGCATTAAATGTTATTATTATCACAAATTTGTCATTTCTGCTCCTTCTTGAGTCTTCTTTTTCACTCTACCTATCTCCAAGTAAAAATGATAGTTGAAGAATTTTGTGGAGATATGTAATTTAAGTTTTCATAATGTATAAGTAAGCTTTTTAAAATTACGAATATTTCCTTCCATTTACGTTAATCCTTTTTTCTCGTTTTTATCTCGATGGTTTAGCCAGTAAACTTTCATTTAAAATAAGACCACTAAGCAACCTGTAGGGTCTCAACATGTTTCTGTGGGTTTAACAGTATAAACATTTTTAAAATACACAATTAGTATGACAATTTACAATGTACAAAATGACCTCATGATAACTAATGTGTACATTACTTTTACAAACAATCCACGTTTTATAGATGATGAAAATTCATGGATAATCGGGTTGAAATTTCCCGATCTTGAACAGTTACGTTTTTAAGAGCTGTAACGCGGTGGTTTATTAACTTGCTTCTTAATTCACATAGCGTTACAGTGAACAGCATCCTATCAGTAGTTCATACGCAGTTCATACGAATTAGTAGTCCGAAAATTTATGTGTAATTGTTCGTTTACGTATAGTTCGTATTAAATTCTCATTTTTATTACTATAGCAAATAATTTTACCCAGTTTTATTTGTACTTTATTTTATCTAAATTTATTCTGTTCACCTTGAAAATACTTTTGAATTGCCTTTTTAATCATACCCTTCTCTATTAATCAAGGTTTTTCCGCACTTTCTTATGACTACTTTTCTGGACAGAAAAAGTACATGTACATATACGGAGAACGTACATGTACAATTTTCCTCGGTTGTGTGTATTTAAAATTGATAGCATGTAATCCTTTGATTTAATAAACGCAAACAGTTATTATAGAAAAATCTTACGCATTTTAATAACTGAGATATATAGTTGTTATATAGCACGCTCCATCATGATCTCATCTAACTTCCATGCTCTTACATACATATCAACTCTTGACTAAATAATATGCCTTAATATTATTAAAGGTATTTGAAGTAACCTATTTAACGTCTTTGTTCTTTTATGCTTCAATCTTTTTCTCGAATTCATCCTCTATCGGATATAAGGAACTAACATTGACTTATCGTTTATATTGTCCCAGTCATACACCAATCGAATTTCTCATGGTCAAAACCGTGTCAACATAAATTAGGTATATTTGATGCTATGGTGATATTTTTCTGACTAAGGATTAGTTGTGAAGAGTTTTATGTTACTATTACTCAATATAAACTCTTTGAGTAGAGAAGGTTTGATAGCTTTTTCAACATTCCTTACCAAGAATGTTTTGAAATAAAAATCTCCCATTTTGCTAAGGTCATCCTTTCACTTTTTGTTAAACAATTAAAGTTTAGTTGTAATATTTTACTAAAAATATCCTCATTTTTCTATACGATGGAAATAAATCACACTTGATAAAATAAATAACTTTCACAATTAACTTTAGGAATGACTGAACATATTTTCATTCCTCCACATTCGATTAATTATATTTTGATAATGATTAAGTTCGGACAAGTTACACAAGTTAATGCTAATTTTCCGATTGCCATATGAAAATTGCAATTCTCATTGATATCATACTAAAATATGCTTTTTAGTTTTCTTCACCTTAATATTTGCGTATTCTAATATTGTAAAATGTGATTTAATAAACAAAAGGTATAGGATTCTAAGCGTTATGGTACGAGTAAATGCGTGAAATAAATAGTGCATTAGTTAGTGGAGTCTGTCACCTGTAAACAAAAACGTTGTCATACTCTACTTTTGTTTCTGAATTCTCGTAAACTTCAGTTTATATCTTCTTTCCCAGCTATATATGTACCAACTTTTCCGAAGTTTGGCTTACATACATCATAAAGGTATTTGTCATCGAGATATAAAACCCCAAAATTTACTTTTAAATCCAGCAACAGCTGTTTTGAAATTATGTGATTTCGGAAGGTTAGTCTACTATATATTTAAGATTTTATTCTCGTGTAGTATTTTGTGTAATTTTCTGACAAATTGACTTGAGTAAAAGCTGCAATAATGCCTATGATTGTATCCAACAATTCATTGAGAAAATGTTGAATAACCAATGTGTCATGTGTACTTACGTGATGTACATTCAACATTATTTGTGTCCCCTTGTATATGTTACTACGTCATCTCAAATAATGCAGATCTCCAGTCACCTTGAAAGGGAAATGACTCATTTATGAATGATGTATTCTGAACTGTTAGACAGGAATAATAGAACACTGCATAATGAAACCAAACTTTAAGTTGTGCATTTCAACTAGAAACACTTTTATCAATGTACGTTGTTTAGTAACTGAGCTTATTTTTGAATTCTGTTTCAACTGAATTATACTGGGGTGCATTAATTAAAGGACGAGATATGACATGAAGTATTCGTGTTTACCATATTCTCTGGTAAAATCAATGTCCTAATTTGTTGCTTGCAGAGCATTTTCATCTCTTTCGTTAAAATCGATACAGGCTATTTCATTTAAGACTTGAAAATAACATGTTTTTGTAGAATTGATTACGCCATATTGAGGGTTTTTTACTTATGTATTTCATTCCAACTGTAATTAGTTAATTATTATATCTCTTTAGTGCAAAGGTTTTAGTTCGCGGTGAACCTAACGTTTCTTACATATGTTCTCGTTATTACCGGGCTCCTGAATTGATATTTGGTGCTGTGGATTACACATGTCAGATTGGTAAGTGCAGTATTCTGTGGGAAAGACTTCATTTTTAAATTTATCGGATCACCGGTTTTAAGCGATCATTGAACAAGTGGTTGAACTACGTAGAATAGGTTCTGTTTGCCAATGACTGAGTAATACTCAATTCATAGCATTTCCTCATACTAGATATCTTCCGAATTAGTGATGAAAACTAAACAGTATTACAATTAATGAAGAGATTCAATTATTTGTAAAAATCATGCAATTTAGGGCGAGATAAACACCTTTGTAAACAAAAAGGTTAAACTACAGATTGCGCTGTTTCTAACTTAATTTAAAAGCTTAGTCTTTTCTCAGCTAATGTCTATGAAGGCAGTTTGTTGAGAGAAGTAATACGTCAGTTAATTTCTATCTCGTAAAAAGGAATTTAGAACAAAGATATAGCACTTCTATGTGTTTAGTTGGTGACATTATGTCCCCCAGCACTTGGTCACCTTTTCACTAAAAATCATGCACAATTTTTAGGACGTAAATCACACGTCAGTATAACAAATTGCAGTTTAGCTAGGCTTCTTAAAGTTTGGTATTTTTAACTAAGCTTTACGTAACATACTCCATAATTATCTGGGATTAGGCCTAACTTCAGCTGCGTTTTAAATATTGGCTTTTGTTATAATGTATATATTATCGCTTCGAGACACGGGTTTCTGTGAGTTGAACACTTATTGCACACGTCATCCTGACGGTTTCCATGGTGAGAACCACTTGCTATAATTACTGTTTGCTTCAGTAATGAAAAGTTATTAACTTTGAAAAGCTATGTTGACTTAGCTCTTATTGGCACACCACAACTTTATCCTACTATTAGGATCAGTCAGCTACAACGTTGGACCAGGCACTTATATACATCGGTTCAAGTTACCATACCTCATTAGCACAGCAAGATGAACACAGGATACATAGTAGTTAATTCAATAGCCGTATAGTAGAACGGAACGAACTGCCACGCAGTATACTCGTCCCTTAATTGAGAGACGGATATCTCGCCTTCGCCATAGGTGACGTAAGTTGGCAAAGGCCAAACGAGCTTTTCGAATCCGTGCTGAGATTTCGTCAGACACCAACCCATGAGGGCTGATCAGACTTCCAAGATAAGTGAAGTTGTCAACGCGTTCGACTACTTCACTCCCTATCCTTAGTTCAGGTGTTGACGCAGACCAGTCCTGAAGCAACAACTTGCATTTAGAGGGAGAGAAGCACATCCCAAACATTCTGGCATTGTTGCTCAGTGCTACCAAAATACTCTGCATTTCATCAGCGTCTTCACCAAACAGGAATATATCGTCTACGTATTCTAAGTCGATAAGTGGACCTCCTGGTAGGAGATCAATACCCGAGAATTCAGTCGACGATAGCGTTATTTCCATCCGTAGGTCTATGATGAAGTTAAACAAAAATGGAGAAAGTGAACAGCCTTCAGATGCTATATTAGTTAAACTAATCCCTCTATGGTTATCATAGGATGATTTTGACCCCTTCTTATATATTATTTCTGTCGTCTTTTTGAACTTAAATTCCTAATCGTTTTGTTGGTTATAATTCATTTGTTTATGTCTACAGATATTTGGTCAGCTGGTTGTGTACTTGCTGAACTTTTGTTAGGTCAGCCAATTTTTCCTGGAGAAAGCGGTGTGGACCAGCTTGTTGAAATTATCAAGGTTTTAGGTACTCCTTCCCGCGAACAAATTCACGAAATGAATCCTGACTATCGAGAATTTAAATTTCCACAGATTAAACCCCATCTCTGGTCAAAAGTAAGATATTCATTGTGGTTTTTTTTAAAGATATTTTGATTTCTAATACGATTTTTTCGTGCTCAAACTGATTAATAGTTTGTGTGTTTCGCGTATATTTTGTCCCTTTGAATAAACACAAAGTGGATATTATTTTCCTGCTACCTACTTTGCCTCACATTTTATTATTATGAACTAGTGATAACTGCAGCAATTATTTAAAATAGACATAACTGTCTGTTTTATGTATTATCAGAGTCGATTTATGCTGTCACGTTTGGGAGATTCTTTTCTCTAGATCTAATTTTGTTTCAAGAAGTAAACGATAATTTCTCATCATGCCGAATCAGGAATTTAATATGTAAAATCTTCATTTGAACGCGAAACTAATTCTTCCAGCTGTTTCAGTACAGTTACAGCGATGTATAGATTAGAAATTCTCTTATCAATAAATATAATGTGCTTACATTCCTGTCAATCGAACGAGTTTAAAAAGATTGTTTTTATTGCTGAACAGATAAGAACACTTGACAAGTGTTTGGAGCCTTGGTGGAAGTTGTAGACCTTAAAGTTATGTTGTTTACTGAAAGGAAGGATAGCCTTACTGTTATAGGCAATTAAAATTTAGCCGTTTCGTTTTTTATGATCTTTCGTTAATATTTATTCCTCCAGGGCATACTGCCGGTCCCAAGCCCGGATAAAGGAGGAGGGTTGAGCATGGGGTTAGCGACCCCATCCCGTAGAAAACTAACTCGCTAAAAAAACGCTAACCAGAAAAAATTATTCAAACCATTTAAACTTTGCCCTGGGAGTCAGGAGGTCTTCGTTTAGAAGAATTATAACTCCTCATGATGAAAGCCGAGTTTCTTCGGAAGTCACGAGGCCGATGCCCCTTCTGACAACCAGAGCAACCATTTATTTAGGTACATGGAATGCTCGTACAATGTGGGAGACTGGGAGAGTTTTCCAAATTGCTACAGAAATGAGGAGATATAACCTAGAGGTGCTTGAGATCAGTGAAACACATTGGACGCAAGTTGGATAAAAACGACTAACTTCAGGGGAGCTGATGTTATACCCCACATACACAAGGAGTAGCATTGATGATGTCCAAACAAGCGCAAAATGGGAACCTCATGGACCAAGGATCATCAAAGCCTCCTTCAAAACAAAGAAAGAGGGCATTACAATGAACGTCATCCAATGCTACGCGCCTGTAGAGGTTAACCAAGTTTGTTGAGATAAATTTCCTCTATATTCGACTCCAAATAAAGATATCTCATTAACCGAGTATTTAATACAGGCTTAATCTCCTAGTAGAATTATCGATTTATTCGAGATCATTTAAAAGCCCAAAAATCAGTTATAGAGATAGTTTATTGTGAAAGCTTGGTAAAGTCCGCAAGCATACAGCAAGCAAGCACCGAGTGAGTCAAAAATCAAAGTGTGTATGTCTGTGTTAAAAGATTCATATATATTTTTGAGTATCAATCAAGTGTAGATAAATTATTGATTATCTATGTGTCACAACCAATGGGGAATAGAATAGCGATCGAAGTGCAGACACACGCTCAATCATACTCATATGGAAATTAACACAGTTGTGTAGACAAATAATACATTAATGGAATGGGCTTGCTACACGCCTACCAACGACCACAATGAAGACGCTAAAGATCAATTCTACGATAGGCTGCAGTCAATCGTCGAGAAGTGCCCAACAAAGGACCTGACTATTCTGATGGGAGACCTTAATGCCAAGGTTGGAATTGACAACACCGGATATGAAGAGATCATGCGACGACACGAACTGGGAGAAAGGAACGAAAATGGTGAGAGATTCGCAAATCTATGTGCCTTCAATAAACTGGTCATAGGCGGCACTATATTCCCACACAAACGCATTCACAAAACCACATGGACTTCACCGGATCACACTACGCAAAACCAAATCGACCATATCTGCATCAACAAAAAGTTCAGGAGGACGATGGAGGACGTGAGAACCAAGAGGGGAGCTGATATAGCATCAGATCATGACTTGCTGGTCGCCAAGATGAAACTGAAACTCAGGAGGCACTGGACAACGTGGAGGACAATATCACAAAAATTTAATACGGCTCTTCTTCAGGATACTGACAAACTCAATAAATTCAAGATAACCCTCAGCAATAAGTTCCAAGCCTTTCGTGATCTACTCAATGGAGAGGGAACTACTATGGAGAGCAACTGGAAAGAGATAAAAGAAGCAATCACTTCATCATGTCATGAGGTTCTGGGCCAAAAGAAGCACCATCACAAGGATTGGATCACTGTTGATACACTGGATAAGATTCAAGAAAGGAGGAACAAGAAAGCAGCAATCAATACCAGTCGAACAAGAGCAGAAAAAGGCAAGGCACAAGCAGAATACACAGAAGTAAACAAGCAAGTGAAGAGGAGCATCAGAACTGACAAACGTAAATATGTGGAAGATTTAGCAATGACGGCGGAAAAGGCTGCAAGAGAAGGAAACATGAGACAACTGTATGAAACAACAAAGAAACTCTGGAAATCACCGTAAACCAGAACGACCAGTGAAAAACAAGGAAGGCAAGATAATCACCAACATTGAAGAACAACGAAACAGGTGGGTAGAACACTTCAAAGAACTCTTGAATCGACCAGCCCCACTGAACCCACCCAACATCGAAGCAGCACTCACGGACCAACCAATCGATATTGGCCCACCAACAATTGATGAAATCAGCATGGCCATCAGACAAATCAAGTGTGGCAAAGCATCAGGAACAGACAACATTCCAGCAGAGGCACTGAAAGCAGACGTAGCTGTAACTGCAAGGATGCTCCACATTCTCTTCGGAAAGATTTGGGATGAGGAACAGGTACCAAAAGACTGGAAAGAAGGACTTCTAGTCAAAATACCAAAGAAAGGCGATCTCAGCAACTGTGACAACTACAGGGGAATCACTCTTCTCTCAATACCAGAGAAAGTCTTCAACAGGTTATTGTTAAACAGGATGAAGGACTCCGTAGACGCCCAACTTCGCGACCAACAGTCAGGATTCCGTAAGGATAGATCGTGTACAGACCAAATCGCAACTCTACGGATCATTATGGAACAATCAATTGAATGGAATTCATCGTCCTACATCAACTTCATTCACTATAAAAAAGCATTTGACAGAGTAGACAGAACAACATTATGGAAGCTTCTCCGACACTACGGCGTGCCTCAGAAGATAGTCAATATCATACGGAATTCCTATGATGGATTAAACTGCAAAATCGTTCATGGAGGACAGTTGAAAAAGTCGTTCGAGGTAAAGACCGGTGTCAGACAAGGTTGCTTACTCTCACCCTTTCTCTTTCTCCTGGTGATCGACTGGATCATGACGACGTCAACATGAGGAAAAGCATAGGATACAGTGGACAGCTAGGATGCAGTTGGACGATCTATACTTCGCAGATAATGTGACTCTTCTATCGCACACGCAACAACAAATTCAGGAGAAGACAACCAATGTAGCAGCAGCATTAGGACTCAACATACACAAGGGGAAAAGCAAGATTCTCCGATACAACACAGCATGCAACAATCGAATCACACTTGACAGAGAAGATTTGGAAGATGCACAAACCTTTACATATTTGGGCAGTATCATCGATGAACACGGTGGATCTGATGCAGATGTGAAGGCACGGGTCGGCAAAGCAAGAGCAGCATATTTACAACTGAAGAACATCTGGAACTCAAAACAATTGAAAACCAACACCAGTGTCAGAATTTTCAATACAAATGTCAAGACAGTTCTACTGTATGGGGTGGAAACCTGGTGAACTACGAAAGCCATCATCCAGAAGATACAAGTGTTTATTAATGGCTGTCTACGTAAAATACCTTGGATCTGTTGGCCAGACACTATCGGCAACAACCTACTGTGGGAGAGAACAAATCAGATCCCAGTGGAGGAAGAAATCAGGAAGAAGCGCTGGAAGTGGATAGGACACACATTGAGGAAAGCACCGAATTGCGTCACAAGACAAGCCCTCACATGGAATCCTCAAGGCCGTTCTATCGCTAGCTCGTCCCTTGATATATGCATTAGATCCTCTGTGTTTATCATCAGTAGTGCTTAGATGTATAAAGTCTTCCACCTCTTCGAGAACTTCATGGTCAAGTGTGGTTTTGTTGGGTCCTTCTGTGTTGTATTTCGGGATCTTGGTTTATCCATTGTTATTCCTTACGAATCTTTCTGAATAGAATAGCATATTTTCAGTTTCATCTATGTTTTACTTTATTGAATCAGCTGATATGTTGTCAGGTCTTTCTGCTTTCCCATTCTTCGTTTCGATCGCCGCTCCACCTACTTCGACTTAAGTTCTGGGTTAGTGTCATCAACTTTACTGTGTGGCTCATAACCATATTGACGTTTATGGATAAGAAAATCGTACGCATTACCCAAATATATTTACGTTATATCTTAGCGTAATAATACATATCAATTTGTATATTTCCAATATTACCACAGTGATTGCTTCCTACTTCTCTTCCACTAAATGGTAAATTTGCCGTTGTAATAAATCTGTTTAGCACAAAGTAATTTCTGTACTGTTTGTAACACAACTGAATTTAACCATAGTAGTCATGTAGGGTAGGTGAATATTGTCTTGTTTACCATATAGAGCTTTTACATATACGTATTTGTAAGTAATCTCCAAAGAAATATCTACATGAATACATTTGTCTGATAATAATTATAAAAATACTGGACAAATAATATTTGTCGGTTATCAATTTCAATGAATCTTGAATTTTGGGTCGAATTTCTATACTTTTGTCATTTATTTAACGTCCGTCTAGAAAGCATGGGACCTTAAGTTTTAAAAATATCGACTGTCGTGAAATGATCAGTCAGTTATTGCTTAATTAGGTGAATACCAGTATTTCAAACTTGTTAGAAATATAGTGGAATTGACTAATTTTCAACCAAGCTTTTTTATTACCAGCAAACAAAATAGTAGGGTGAGATGTTTTGTCATGAAATTTATGCAGTGTACTTGTTATAATATATATCTTTTAACGAAAATTTTCGATAAACATCATTTATCCAGATACACTCAGCATAATGTATGATTAATTAGGTATAATTTGGTTCATAATATTGTCAAAATTCTTGTTTCAATTTTGCACATTTATCCCTTTTCTAAACTTTTCCTTAGGTTTTTCGTCCTCGTGTTCCATCGGAAGCAATTCAGTTGGTGTCACAGTTACTTGACTACACACCCTCAAAACGTTTAGAACCGTTAGATGCTTGTTTACATTGCTTTTTTGATGAGTTAAGACAAGAAGGAACTAGACTTCCCAATGACAGACCTCTACCTCCATTATTTAATTTGACACCCTACGGTGAGTATTTGGATTGAACCTATATTATTACTACTATTATTAGTATCATTATGTTGATTAATTGTGTAATACTGTAATATATTTGTCTGTTCTTTACGGATAAAAATTGCTTCTCTACCGTCAGGCTATATTGAAGCATCGATAACATGTTGATGTAAGTTAAAACACAAAGTTTGAACTGTTTTACATCATACAAACATTATACTTAGTTTAAATCAAGTCATTATTGTGTGTATCTATACTGTTGACTATCTAATGGTGTTGCTATCCTGATATCTGAATGTTCTCTTCATTTATTCTATTTTTAGCCCAATTCTTACGCTATAATAGTGTGTATAAAAGTGTTAATTCGTATATCGATTTTGTTTGATTGCTTATTTCTATTCTATTTTCTCTCGCTTTCTCTTTCGATACTTGTAAGTTTTATTTTCAATATCAATAAAGTTTTACACTTTTCCAGGTACAAATTTAATATTCGCATAAAATTTATTTTTATTGATTTCGCATTTATTGTTCTGTATAGTAGTGTATAACTCAACAAAATAATTTATTACCTATGTTTTAAACAAACTCCACCTGTAACTCTCCTAGGGTTACTGCCGGTCCCAACCTCGGGTAAATGAGGGTTGGGCATGGGGTCAGCAACCCCATCCCTTAGAAAACAACCTTGCTATAAAACGCTAACCAAAATCAACATATTAAACCATTTTGACTCTGCCCTCCGAGTTGAAGGAAGAGTTATGACGCCTCATGATGAAAGCCGAGATTCTTTGAAAGTCACGGGGCTGATACCCTTTCTAACAGCCAGAGCAACAATTTTTATAGGTAAATGGAATGTCAGGATAATGTGCGAGACCGGGAGAACTAGTCAAATAGCAACGGAAATGAGGAGATATAACTTGGTTGTGCTCGTAATCAGTGAAACCCATTGGATCCAAGCTGGACAATAAAGGTTGGATTTGGGAGAGATGCTGCTATACTCGGGTCATGAAGAGGAAAATGCCTCACATACAAGGAGTTGCACTGATGCTGACCAATGAAGCACTGAAGTCAGAAATAAAAGTAACTACGAATGTTCTCCACGTTTTAATCAGGATTTGGTAGGAAGAAGGAGTGTCACACACAGACTGAAAAGAAGGATATCTCATCAGGATACCAAAGAAAGGAGATCTGAGCAAATATAAGAACTACAGAGACATCACAATATCAATACCAGGAAAGGTTTTCAACAGAGTGTAGCTGGACCGGATGAAAGATTCAGTAAACACCCAACTTCGGTATGAACAGCCTGGATTCCGTAATGATCGGTAATGTACAGACCAAATCTCCCTTCTCTCTTCTGGTGGTTGACTTGATTATGAAGTCCCCCACATCTGACAGGAAGCACGGAATACAATGGACAGGTTGGATGCAACTAGACGATCTGGACTTCGCAGATGACTTAGCTGTTCTATCCCATACACACGAGCAAATGCAGGTCAAGACAACCAGTGTGGCATCAACTCCTGCAACAATAGGCTTTAACATACACAAGGGAAAAAGTAAAATCCTCAAATACAACATGGAGAACATCAACCGAATCACACTTGATGGAGAAAATCTGGAAGAGGTGAAAACTTTCACGTGTCTGGATAGCATCATCGATGAACAAGGTGGATCTGATGCAGACGTAAAGGCAAGGATTAGCAAAGCAAGTACAGCATTCATACACCTCAAGAATATATGGAACTCAAAACAACTGTTAACCAATATCAAAGTTTGAATATTCAATGCGAACGTCAAAACGCTTCTGCTATACAGAGCTGGAGCTTGGAGAGCTACTACAACTATCATCAAAAAGGTACAAGTATTTATAAACAATTTTCTACACAAGGTACTGGATGTCCGTTGACTGGGTACCATCAGCAACAACCTGATGTGGGACAGAACAAACCAGTTTCCATCTGAAGAGGAAATTACGAAAAGTATGTAGGATATACATTGCAGAAATCATCAAACTGCATCATTAGGCAAGCCCTATCTTAGAATCCTGAAGGGAAACGGAAAAGAGGAAGACCAAAGGACACATTGCGTCGGTAATTGGAAATGGTTATCAAAAGAATGATTAGTAACTGCAAAGGATTGCCCAGGACAAAATTGTATGGAGAATGCTTTTTTGGCGGCCTGTGATTCTCCATGAGGGGTAACAGGTATGGGTAAGTATGCAAGTATAATTTAAACAAGAAAAATACATATCTGAAATTGAGTGGTAGAATTATTATTTAATGTTAGCATCACTCGTTCATAATTTACAATATATATCTGTGATGGTTATTCCAATTATCAGCATTGTGTACTTTTTCAGGAACTATCGATTTCAAATAAAATAATATTAATCTGATGAATTTGCCAGCCAGTTGTAATAATCAGTATTGCTTAAAATTGTTACAATACCCTCTTGATTGAAATAGTCCTTTTCCTATACTGTGATTTTTTTAAATATTTCCCCCGAATTCCCTGGTATAACAGAGAGTGGGGAGAGCTAACTCTCCCTATCGAAATGCTCTCACATGGCCCTGCTTTTACAGCCGCTCACACGGAAGTCCTACTCACTGCCTTCTCTCAACGTATTATTGTTCATGAAATTGAGAGGACGAAAAGCGAATGTTTGGCGCTTTAACCGGGTTGGTTGACACGGGGGGGTCCACTTATGGTAGTTGGAAAAACCCGATTCCAAACCAATGGTGAACATGGGCTCCAGAATCCTAAGGGAACGAATGGTGTATAAACCTATTGTTAGTCACCGGCTACCATGGCAGTGCATCTCCTGACGTTTTCCACTGACTTGTGGATTAGACCTTTAGGTCGGAGGCTCCGAGTGTGACCTCCTAAGAAAACCACCTGCTTCGGTCTGGGCACCCGAGTAGTATCACAGTCCATACACAAATCATTGACTTGTGTGGCGCATATGTGTTCGGTGCCCTTTGTATCAATATTTATGTGTTCAAATAATAATAATAATAATACGTTGATTTCGTTTTTATAATTGTAGAAATGACTATGCGAGATGATATGTACAAATTTCTCCCACCTTCTCGAACATCCGGAGGAGCTGGGGTATCAGAGTCAAGTTTACCACCTACTTCAGATCTTTCAATGGTAGAACAACCACAACCGCATCATATAGCAGACACTGTTGATCGCACAGGACAAAATCACAATCCCTCTACATCGGAAGGGAGTAAATTATCGGATTCAGAAATTCGATTAGCCGTTGTAGCTCCATCTCATAGTTCGGATAACATACAACTCATATCAAATAACAGTAACAACAATGATAATAGCAACAATATTGATATACCTCATCAATTGAAAGATTCCTGCCATGAAGAGTTAGAATCCAGGAATATTCAAGGTGTCAATAGTTAAAGATAATGATCACATTTTGTCTATCAATAAAATTTATTCACTGTATTTTGTCTTCATGTGAAATTTGTTAAATTCCAAAATTCAATATCACGAAACGAGGATGAAAAACCATTCAACTCAGGTTTCTCGTCCAGTTTATTCCTCCTGAGACAAGTACTAATTATATACATGTACAAATATTTACCGATAAAATCAGTAATATTTCTTAAGATTAATGAAGCTCCTTCCTGTAGATGACAATCATCATAACACAGAATTATAGTGACAAAGTAATTTGTTTTATTCCTATTTTAGGATTTCACTTACTTTCCATTTCTGTACAAACATACTCTCACATTCACAACTTAATGATCATTTCTCGTGTACTTTCCATCATATCCACTCTCTTTCAGTCACTAATTAACAATATCTACATATTTTGTGTGTATGTATTTTTGTTCATTGATGTATGCTACATTTAATGTTGTAGTTTGTTTATTTTCAACACTGGCACTTTGTTTTTTCTATCATTTTTCTCAGACTATCTTACTTTGTTTGTTTTTTTTCTGCCTAAATGTAACATTGCTATTTGAAAAGTAAATGAGTAGTCGTTTACACAAAAAATCCTTTGGTTACAACTCTTTATATTGTCTTCTAACTATTTCTGTTTTTTAAGTGATAATCAAGGAAAGTATTTGCTTATGAAGTGATACACTGCAACATTTAAAAATTTGTATTTTTAAATGTTTATCAACTGTAATCTTTCTTTCTTTCTTCGTAATGTTTTTTTAACATTCTCTTAAATTACAATGATCTTCATTGTGACTACATTCGTTTATCATTCCTGTTATTAATACTGCATGCGGCGCCCGATATATATATATATATATATATATATATATATATATATATATATATCAGTTACAAAACAGACATCTTTCACATACTACAGCATTTTTTCTCGTCACTGCTCTCCTGTTGGTTCGTCTTTCATATCATATCATATATAAATATATATATGCCATTATAGATTCTAATTATAGACAAGTATATCAATTTACGATCATGATGTTTAATAGAATCCTTAAACAATTTTTTTTTCCGTATACACCACACTGTCTTTTTTTGCAATGAATTCAATGAATATCTCCGTCCATTAGAAACTTAATCAGTAGATAGGCAGGCTGCAAAAATATATGGACTAGTCACATTACAAACAATATTTTATGTAATGATTTGTATCTGAGGTCAATAATTTCAATAATTAAAGGAACCACTGAGTTATAGATTGACATGTTGTGATTTCACATTCACTGATCTCTATTTCTATATAATACGCACCTTAATTAGTTATATGGGAGAAACATGCGTTTACTTTGTTTGTTTATCTACGTACACGTTCGTATCTACGTGTTATTCTGTCATATTTATATGAACAGTTTTTAATTTTCCGTGCATAACTAATGTAATATATTGATCAATATAATATACATATGTAGCACAACTTGTGTTCTTTTCTATCATTCATATGTAATCATCTTTTATTCAATTCACCAACGTATAACTAATAATCCTAGTTCTGTCCAAAATTTAAGCTGTTATAAATTACATTACAATATCAATCCCCTCCCATATCTGTGTAATTGAATAATTACACAAACCATATATTTTGTATCTTTATGATAACTGTCACTCAGTTTATTCAAGAAAAGCAAAAATGAAGGAGATTAAATAAAGAATTTGTAAACTATGTCAACTTTGTGCTTTTTCTGTGCTACATTTCTATTTCTTCTTTCATACATAATAAATAGTTAGTGTTGGTCTACCTGTATAGTCTTTTTAATTCTAAAAAATCAAACAGTTTAATGTCTGTTCAAAATTTTTCACTGTTTATTAATATAATAAATAGTTATACGTGAATATCGTGTAGGATGATGTAAAATAATCGATCTTATTTACTCGAATATAAGTTGAGACCTTTATTTTGTAATTGAATTTATGAAAGTAAATAGTTATTGTCAAACCCCATAAAGTATATTTACTTAACTCTTGGTGAATTCATCCTGACCGTTGTTGCTACCTTGACGTGGTGGTCGGGCTTGCCTATCTTTATGAAGCAACTGAGCTATACTGGCTGGAACAACCGTTCCTCGAGGTCCTACCATGCCAGACAGGTCGGTTGAAGAGCGGTGAGACTAAAAGCAACAAACCCAAAGTCCGAAGGCGAAGTCGTGCTGCTGACTGTACAGAGGTGTGACAGCAGTAAGGTGTTTCCTTCAAACAACCAGCATGACAGCGATTCTGCCTTCCCACAAGGAAGGAAGGGGCTAGAAAAGGTCGACCCTAAAAATGCACACCTCGCCTTATCCCACGAATATCCGTCTCCGGCGGTAAGGTCTCAACAAGTACGGAGCTAACACGAAAATTACTCAAAGACAGGTCGTGTGTGACCGACCACAGGCAGTTGTCCCTTGGGCACTTCGGTCACGCTTTCAGGTCACTATGACCACCTCTAATCCAATTTCCTTCTCAGGTACCTCCAGAAGAACCCTTCCACGGTGTAGGCGACCGGGAAGTGATACCCGCCCTCATACATCTAACAGCACTCAAGACCACTGTATTCATAATCAACCTCCCTCTTCAATTCCTATTTGTCCTCCTACATCGACTTTCAAACCTAAACTTCCTCTCTTGGTTTCCTCCTCAAGTGTCACCATAGCCAACAATTCTAGTGCGCAAAACGCTGTCCCAGGTCTACTGAAACCTCGCTCCAAACTACACATTGGAGCCTTCAACGTACGCACACTATGCCGAATCGGTCAGCAGGCTTCCTTGGCTAAAACCCTAGAATCTCATACTATTGATGTATGCTGTGTCTCCGAAACACGCATACAGGATCCTAGCGTGGTCATTCACTTGACCTCACCTCGGCAAAACGGAGTGCCGACGAGATACACCCTCCGTGTATCTGGCGACGCGATGGCTAGTTCTCGTGGACTGGCAGATGTAGGCATAGCACTAAGCATGAAAGCGGAACAAGCGCTACTAGAGTGGGTCCCCGTTGACAGCAAAAGAGATGGAAAAGGCGGCGGCTATAGGGAACACAAGACAACTCTACAGACTAATAAAAGAAACTGGAATTAATAAATCAAGTGTAAGTCTGACTATTTCGGAAAAAATTGGCACTCTTATTTGCTCCCAGTCCAGACGCTTAGAACGATGGGCGGAACACTTTAAGGAGCAGTTTAGCTGGCCTTCAGCTACTCTACAACTACCCTCTATTCCCAGACAGTATGAATGGAACATTGAAGTAGGTCCACCAACTCTAGCTGAAGTTCAAAAGGCTATAGCTAATCTGAAACGAGGAAGGGCAGCTGGTCCAGAAGGATTGGCCCCAGAGGTCTAAGGATGGTGGTCTAGTTTTAGCGATTAGGTTGACTAATATTTTTGCTAAAATCTGGGAGTTAGACGTTATCCCATCTAACTGGTCACAATCACTTATCGTCCCAATATATAACAGAGGGTCAAAATCATCCTGTGACAACCACAGAGGGAATAGTTTAACTAACATACATCTAAAATACTAGCCTCGATAAGTATCCGACGCCTAACTAAGACTCGTGAACTGCAAACACGTGAAAATCAGGCTGACTTCAGACATGGTCGTGGCTGCATCGACCACATATTCACCATTCGTCAGGTTCTAGAACACAGGCATACTTATCAGCGTCCGACAATGGTGGTCTTCCTTGACTTAAGGGCAGCGTTTGACTGTGTAGACCGAGAGGTTCTGTGTCAGTGTCTGTCATTAAAAGGCGTACCTCAGAAGTACATAAACATTGTGAAGGCTTTTTACTCAAACACTACTAGTCGAGTCAGAGCTTATGGCGAACTGTCATCTGCTTTTGCAACCTCAAGTGGTATCCGTCAAGGCTGTCCACTTTCTCCATTTTTGTTTAACTTCATCATAGACCTACGGATGGAAATAACGCTATCGTCGACTGAATTCTCGGGTATTGATCTCCTACCAGGAGGTCCACTTATCGACTTAGAATACGTAGACGATATATTCCTGTTTGGTGAAGACGCTGATGAAATGCAGAGTATTTTGGTAGCACTGAGCAACAATGCCAGAATGTTTGCGATGTGCTTCTCTCCCTCTAAATGCAAGTTGTTGCTTCAGGACTGGTCTGCGTCAACACCTGAACTAAGGATAGGGAGTGAAGTAGTCGAACGCGTTGACAACTTCACTTATCTTGGAAGTCTGATCAGCCCTCATGGGTTGGTGTCTGACGAAATCTCAGCACGGATTCGAAAAGCTCGTTTGGCCTTTGCCAACTTACGTCACCTATGGCGAAGGCGAGATATCCGTCTCTCAATTAAGGGACGAGTATACTGCGTGGCAGTTCGTTCCGTTCTACTATACGGCTGTGAAACATGGCCATTAAGTGTTGAAGATACTCGTAAGTTACTAGTATTTGACCACAGATGCCTTAGAAATATTGCTGGCATCTGTTGGGATCACCGGATAAGTAATAGTGAGGTTAGACGCAGGGTACTAGGGAATGATGGTAAATCAGTTGATGAGGTTATGAAACTTCATCGACTGAGATGGTTGGGCCACGTGTTGCGTATGCCTGAACATCGATTACCACGACGCGCAATGCTCACTGGTGTTAGGGATAGTTGGAAGAAAGTTAGGGGCGGCCAAACAAAAACGTGGCATCAGTGCTTGAAGACACTAACTTCTGGATTGAGCCATGTTGGTAGATGCAGACTACGTGGTTGGGAGCCGCGTGACTATCGTAACCAATGGTTGGAGACTCTTGGTGACTTGGCTCAGAATCGATCACAATGGCGTCGGTGCATGCACTCTCTGTCTTCCTTTAAACTAAGAGATTAAAATCGCTTCATATCTCTCTTTCTATCAACTAATTCTTTCTTCCTGTACTATCTCCTTATACACAATCGTTCTTCTATATATTACTACCACTGAATTAACTACTTTTATGAATCCGGTG